CCTTCCCACAAAAATCACCAATTCCTATATACTTCTTAGCTCAGTTTAGACAAGCTCTTTCTTTATATTTACTTCATGTTTAGTCTTCAAATGAGGAGCTAAACTCTTCCATCTTGGTTTTGCTACTTTGAAGCTTAATGAATTTGTAAGTTGTGAGTTATTTTCTTTAATCTTCTTCCTTGAATATTAATTATTTCCTATTCATATTCCATATTAATATTTTGAGCATTACTTAAAGGATCAACTAGTTTTGTTTCATATATTAATTATTACTAGAATCAATCGATTAATACGCTTGTTATTAATTCGGTTCTTTCAACGGTAGTAAAACTTGGATTATTAATGCATGCGTCTCATGGTTAATAATCTAAGGGGAATTAATTATATTGATTAAAACCAATAAACCGCTTGTGTTGAGGTTATCAATCTCAATCGTTTTCATCTTAAGTTTATTGCTATTATCGGGCCAATATACGACGCTTGTTCTATATTAACTCGGTAGTAAGTTTTATTAATGAACGCGTCTCGTTATTAATAACTACCCTCGATGAACTGGATATACTCCTCGATTGAGTATTCGAGAGAAAGATAGTTAAAGATATAACCGGGATCGATGAACATTTCATTAAGTGGATAAAAGCAAAACCAAGTCCTCATCTCTATTAATTAAACTCATATAGGTTGTTCATCTTAGTTTTAAATTAAATTAAATCATCCAACAAAACCCCCCTTGTTACTAGTTACATAAAAGATAAATATTCCTTTCCCTGTGGATACGAACCTTACTTCGTTATACTACATATATTCGTTGTATTGTATTTATTTTGAGTGCACCTCACGACAAGTGCACGTCAGTAGGCCTAGCTTAGCTCGGATCCAAAGGACAGGGCTAAAGAGCAGGTACGGTGAGCGGATGACGGAACAAAGAACAGGGGAATTTCCAAGAGGATAAACTCGTTCCTCATCAACCACGTTGGCCTAGCTCATCTCGGCTTCAAGGGCCTAAGCTAAAGAGCATGTACGGCGAGCGGATGACGGAACAAAGAACTGGGGAATCTCCAAGAGGATAAACTCGTTCCTCATAAACCACGTAAGCCTAGCTCAGCTCGGCTCTAAGAGCCTAAGCTAAAGAGAAGGTATGGCGAGTGGATGACAGAACAAATAACAGGGGAATCCCCAAGAGGATAAACTTGTTCCTCATCAACCATGTAGGCCTAGCTCAGGTCGGCTCCAAGGGCCTAAGCTAAAGAGCAGGTACGACGAGCGAATGACGGAACAAATAACAGGGAAATCCCCATGAGGATAAACCCGTTACCCATCAACCACGTAGGCCTAGCTCAGCTCGGCCTCAAGGGCCTAAGCTAAAGAGTAGGTACGACAAGCGGATGACGGAACAAAGAACCGGGGAATCCCCAAGAGGATAAACTCGTTCCCCATCAACAACGTAGGTCTAGCTCAGCTTGGATCCAAAGGACCGGGCTAAAGAGCATGTACGATGAGCGGGTGGAGGAACAAAAGAGCAAAGGAATCCCAAGAGGATACACCCGTTCGCCATCAAAATTATAGGCGCAACGCAGCACGGGCCCAAGAGCCTAAGCTGTGAGCAGGTACGGTGAGCGGATGGCGGAAGGAAGAGGGAGACATAACTCCCAATACCAAAGTCATCAGCGTAGCGCGATACGTCCTCAGGCTTAAGCTGTGCGGCATGACAAGAAGGTGATTGACGAAACAAGGATAATCTGCTCGTCATCAAAAGGATAATCCTTCACCAAGATCATCGCTTAGCACGGTACGGCCCCAGGGCTTAAGCTGTGTGGCAGGATGAGAAGATAGATGAACGAACAAGTATGTCGAGCCGAGCATCCAGAAGGAAAATTCCGGAGGTTGAAAATCTCTAGGAACTTATGTTAGGTTAATCACCCTCTAGAGACAAACAACAGAGAACACCCTCCCTCTAGACGGGACGACGTACGTCCCCAATGGGTCGCCAAGGCCCGTTCACATAGACGACGGGGTACGGAGATCCAGTGAATAAGGCAAGACGTTCGGAGATCCAGAATACAGCAGGCAACCGTCGCGTCAGGGGTGTCGGCTAAAGGGAGTACGGCGGAAGCAGTTTTACTTCTTGATGGCCCACCGGACGGTCATCCCCTAAGTCAAAGCCTTCTGGTGAGACCCCCTGGAAATAGCCCAAGGAAGAGAAGAGGTTCATTCCCACAGGGGATGTAGAGCCTGAGGGTATCAATCTCGGAAAGGCAGATAGTTGCATTCCAAGGACAACCGTCAAGGGACGTACGTCAGGAGACACAAAGTGGCTCATCGACTTAGGAGGCGCCAAGGGTATTATCCGGCGACGTACGTCGGATTCATTTCTACTTCCTTATGTCCCGCACACGCTCAGATCATCAAAAGTGGGGGACTTGTGTTGGGTTAATGGCCCAACGGGGGTTGGTCCATAAAACCCTCAAGGGCCGCCCTACGGACGTCCCTAGAAGGCACGAGACAACGAGTTACCTTTCCGCTTATCCTGTCGAGGTTTGTCCCAACAGGGTCAGGCTTCAACCCCTAGGCCCAGGGGATGTACGTATCATGGCATTGGTGTGTGCCTTGGAACAAGGGCAGATCCGGACGCTCGTCTTGCAGGACTTTGGACCCAGCAAAAAGCAGGAGGCAAGCTCATGGGGACGAACGTCCCCACCCCTTAGCGGGAAGCCAAGATCCTGGCAGGGGCAGAACCGGACGCTCGTCTTGCAGGACTTTGGACCCAGCAGGAAGCAAGAGGCAAGCTCGAGGGGACGAACGTCCCCACCCCTTGGTGGGAAGTCAAGATCCTGGCGGGAAGCGCATTTAATGTAGAAGATTTGGTGGTTGCGCATTTAATGCAGAAGATTTGGTAGTTGGGATCCAGCCATCCACAGCCCGCCACATCAGCACATCTAACTATCCATTGGCGGTATAAATAGTAGCATTTATCTCATTGTAAAGGGTTGGCAACTTAGCACTCTAATATTATAACATTGTAACATCTCGTAGCATAGCGAGAGACGAACGGCCTCTCGGCTTGTTACCCTTTCAGTGTATTAAGACTTCTTATTGGGCCCTTCCTGCTTGTTTCTACATCTACTTCGATACTTCTTCCATTCGAAACATTTGGGCCGTGTGTTGGGCCTACGGGTTGAAGAAATAAACCTCAACAATATCTAAAAAGTGATAACATTACGAATAAGAGGACTAAAATGTCCTTAGCTTAACCCAATTGTCAACCCCCTTTACACCTTCCTCTATGTGTTATCTTCTTATGCAGCTATTTTCTTAGGAGCGAACGCAGCAGTGGTAGTGATGGTGAAACGACATATTTTTATGAAGGATAACTATTTTGATGAAGGAAACGACATACATGGCCACCACTTTCGATCTTCGTCGATCTTCTGATAAGTTTTTGTCATGTTTAGTCCTTCAACTATTATGTCACTGACACTTTTGGTACTCGACTTTGAGTATTTCCATTTTTAGTCCTTCAACTATTGTGCGAAAGACACTTTTGAAACCCGTCTTTTAAAATTTCCATGTTTAATCATTCGACTTTCATTAAAGTAACAATTTTGGTCCTTCAACTACTATAATAATGATATTTTTAGTCCTACACATATTGTGTCAAAATCATAGTGGAAGAACTAAAAGTATCAATTTGATAATACTCATGGGACTAAATGTGAAAAACTTAAAAGTTGGGGATTAAAAGTGTCTCTCGCACAATAGTCAAGGACTAAAATTGAAAAAATTAAAAACGAGCACCAAAATTGTCACTGACACATTAGTTGGGGGATCAAAAGTGACAAAAACTCATCTTCTAGTTGAAGGAAATCAACTTCAATGCTAACCAGCCAACCTAGCTTTCATATTGCTTCATCATCATTGGATAACACACAACAAACCCGCTAAGCCAGGAGGCCAGAGGAGATTTCATATGCGAATAGCACATGTGGAGAAATAACGAACATCAATCGTATACTCGAAAAAATCGCACTTTTAATCCATTAAATAGTCATCATATTGAAATTTGAAATATCAGACCTGTATTCTCCAGTTTGTACTTTGTAAATGTCACCCCTCCATTGTCCAAAATGTTGTAAATGTGGTCCTTTAAGGGGTGAAATGTACAATGTGAGTGAGGAGTACATTTCACCTCTCAAAGGATCTGATTTACAGCAATTTTGACAATTGAGTGATGACACAATCTCAGAAATACAGGTTTGACATTTCAATATGATGATAATTTTAGGGATAAAAGTGCGACTTTCCCTACTCCGTATATTTCTTATGTGACTAGTACATGTAACATACTAACATGTGGAGAAAAAACCAGCATCGATCATACATATAATCATGAAGTCATGAAGGACGAGTAATTTGCATTTCAAAGTTGTATATTCATCATTTCATCATATCTTTCATTATATTTAACTAGGGGTGGACTCGGGCCGGGCCAACCGGCCTGGAACCGGACCGGCCCGCTACTGTGCGGGCCCGACCCGGACCAGTGAACCGGTTCCGGGCCCGGTTTGGGCCAACCGGCCCGGTGGGATGGCGGTTCGGGCTCGGGCCCTTCAAAAGGTGAACCGGTCCGGCCGCTTCGGGCTCGGGCCGGGCCTTTTTTTTGTTTTTTGATTTTTTTTTTAAGTTTTTGGGTTGGGCTGGGCATTTTGGGCCATTTGAGGTGGTTAGGGTTGGTTTGGGGGTGTGGGGGAGGGTTGGGGGTTAACTAGGAAAAGCCCCAAAAAAAAAAAAAATAGAACCGAGGCCCGGCCAGGCCCGGACCCAGGGGTTACCCAGGCCGGTTCCGGGCCTCCCCTTCTTGAACCGAGGCCCGAACCGGGCCCGGTCCACCCCTATATTTAACACATAGTTCTGGTGTGAGAACAAAATATTTTGGGAACCGATAAAAATAAAATAAAACTTTTTAGCCTGTATCATAGAGTAGTTCTTGTTTTTTTATCAGAACCGGACCAATATTGATATTTTTTTAACTTTTTTTACAAGGACCATAATTTTTAAGAACCTAACCCGTCTCAAGTTGCGCTTGTTTTAAACCCTCCTCTAGGGCAACACTGCAAACTATAGTAGAGCTTATACTCCACCGATGCAGGGACTATAGATGACGGAAGGAGAAGCACCCTAATTCCAGACATGCTCTTTTTCCAAACACATCATCTTATGCATTCACGTTTTTGCTCTCACAGGCCGCAATGCCAGGAATAAAATCCATGCCCACAGACACATATTCTTAACAAAAACAGAGGATGTGATTGAAAATGCCAGCAAGAATGAAAAAGGTAGTATACAATAATACAATATAAATCACATACGTTGGAGCTGTTTTAAGTGTTCATATCCTCTGCATTTCTTTTCCCCTTCAAGTTCTGAAACAACAAATTCGCACAAATTGTGCATAGGCATTCGAAACCACGCTGCGACTTGGGTTAACCAAGGAAACAGGATTGATCAGTGGGAGGTTGAAGATAGATTCCAAGACTTCTTTGTTGCTACCAGAATTTTATCCCTCCCGTGGGAGTCAGGTTCTTTGTTGTAAATAGTTGTAGTCCATCTTACAGCATGAGCTATCCGATTGCTTCTGTCAATCACTTCAGGCAAATCTCGAATTATTACCGTTCCTTCTGGCCTCAGCATTCTATCAATTTCCACCATCAAATCCACAAGGTTGCACCTGGAAATATATCATATTAGTATTAGTATATGTAGGGATCGTATATTGGACTAAAGTGGAATATATATAGTAAATATAGGGATCAAGTAGGGCTTAATATAAACTATTTCTCACATAGAAGGTATAACACTTATGTTTGTCCCAAAAATAGAAGGTATACCCTTGTTAAGAAGAAAAAATTAATCTAGTAGGTACCTTGGCGAGATATTATTTTTAATTTCAAGACCCTACTCTCTCTCTCTCTCTCTCTCTCTCTACCATCACTCACAAAAACTACACATGAAACAACATAAAAGGCAAAAAAATCACCTGCAGAAACAGTCAAAAACTGTTATTTTAACAGCAAGTCACAGTTCCTTCTGCTTTAGAAATATCATCAACAATGAATGGCAAAAATAGAATTCTACTTAAATAAATAAAATAATGCATACCTGCTCTTGTCTGAATCAGGATCCTTTGTAAGAGATTCAATAGCAGCTACATGAATCAGATCATACGTCCGAGGGTATGTCGAGAAAGGCTCACACCTAAACATTAATAAAAAAACATAAGCAACTACGGAGTATAGATTTTCAAGCCAATATATCATTTGCTTTTATGGTCTGTTTGGAGTACTTTTTATTTGAGGGTGGTGTGGACCATTATGGTAAGCTTAAGGAAAATTTCATCCTCCAAATTATTGTTGGAGAAATTCTACAATAGAAATTGAGAATTGCAAGAATAGTAGCATCAAGACAAAATAAACAATTAAGTCAGGAAGAAACTGCATGTAGATTAGTCTGGAACTTTATACATAAGAAGCCAGGGAACTCGACTTCAGATAACCAAAGTGTATTAGAGTAGGCGATTGGAAAGGGTTGAATCACATAAGGCTACAGGACGGGCTGAATCAAGTTTTCGCACTACTTCAGTAGGTCTGAGAAACAATATTCATGGTTACTATTTTAATCAATAAAGGAACCACTTGAGGAAACACACTATAATTTTTCCTGTGCTTAGCACAAAGATAGAAGGTTGTTCAATGTATACTTTAATACTTCTTTTAGAGCACAGAGGATATCATTTTTGTATAAAGTTACAATGGTCATTGGTGATTGGTGATTGGTGAATGGCAGCCATAAACAGAAAAATGCGGACAAACGCCATATTGGCTACATGTGGGAAAGTCACATTATAATGATTTCCAAATGCTCTAAGTAAACCATCTTTCCACAATAAGAGCATTACATTTTTCTGTCCATTAGGACTTTCATTTTGCAATGTTCTTTTCCGCCTTTTCCATGGGTGTTGGGAACTCATGGGTTTCTTCACTGATAAGTATGTGGAAATCATAAATAGATATTTTATTTTGGGGGGAAATAATTTAAATAACCCAAACTTTTAAGGGGTGTGAGATGAGTACCCCAAACTTTATATAAAAAGTATTGTTACCACCATGAGTATATATTTTTTCACAAATGTAATTTTATGGTGTTAAGTACATAATTTAAAATACACAAAACTTTAATGAAGATGCAATTAAAATTAAATTTTACTGGATGTAATATTATTTAGTTCACAAATGAAATTTTGGAATGTTAACTATATTTTAACAAAGCTTAGACTATTTTGAATTATGTAATTATTCCAACAAATTTGTATTTGTATAAAAACATGCAATCATGAAATGTTCAGGGTATATATATTACCTCACACCCCATTGGAATTTGGGGTATTTAAATTATTTTCCCCTTTATTTTGTGGAAGATACACTGAGACTATTGATTCACATGAAATGTGAGTCAAACACTTAGAGATAATAAGACATGCCATTACTCTTACTGATTTTTTTCTTCTATGTCATCCAAGTGTCAAACTGATTCTGGAAGTAGAAATACAAATATGGAGTAGCATTAAAGAATGTGACACCTTGAGAGGTGTAAATCTGTTGTCGCTTAGGATAGTAGAACTGAAACCCTATTGTTGGGAAGTATGGCTTACAAGGGAACATTTTATGGATTAGTTGGAGATGTCTAACAACAACAACACATCCAAGTCTTAGTCCCAAAAGATTTTGGGATCCGCTAACATGAATAGATACATGATATTGGAGCCAAAAGGGAAAAATAGATAAGAAAAAAATAAGGTGTGATAAAAAGATAATACTCTCTCTGTCCCAAATTGTTTTGCAAAGTCAACATTTTTTGGTCAACCAATAAAAAAAAGTCAATGCTTCTTATGGATAATTAATTTAATTTTTAATAATTAAAATTTATATATTCAGAAACTACATTAAAATCTCTTCAAAGTTGTAAACTCCAAATTAGAATATAATTAAAAATTTACATCCTAATTAAGCAAATAAAATGAAACTGTTTGACCAAGAAAAGTCAAATTTGCAAATCAATTTGGGACGGAGGAAGTATAAAATAGAGATAAGATATACATAAGAAAGAAAAAGAAGATAAAGGGAAAAAAAGATGATAAGAATATTGTAACAGATTTGACCCTTTAAGGAAGGAGGGAGCAGCCAATTTATGAAACAGCAGGAATGAAGGCTTTCTCCCCTAATGTTGTGCACTAACAACACAATGGATAAACAAGGTTCAAATTGCTTGGACCAGGCATCTTTCAGCCGTTCAGCTACCTCGTTTTGCTGAGTATCTGAACACAAAAACTCATGTCAAAGTCCTAGTGATGACAAGAACCCTGAGAAAGGTTATTGAGACATTCTAAAGGTCAATCAATTCCCAGGTTTTTTATTTTATTTTAAAAGATACTCCAAATTTGTTTGACTTCATAAAAAAACTTTGGAAGGACATTGAACAGTGGGATATGTTTTTCATCAAAAAACACACTTGGGGGCCTATTTTAGTGATTTTTTATGAGCATAGATTGCATGCCAATGTTGCACCCCCAAGGACCAGCCATGTAATCAGCTTTTGAGGCTCTATTTGATTCTTGAATTACTCAATCTTCTGACAAGCTTTGGACTACAACCAAAGCTTACTGCCCATGCATTTTCCAGCTTCATCACGTTTACTCCTATGCATATTCCAGAAATCACAGAAACAAGGTGTGCCTCATCCTCCACTTCGGGGACCTCAATACCTCATTGCCCTCTCCTCTGCCATGTTGTGACAATCCCAAAATTGAGCAATTAGAGCTGAATGATCATTTGAGGATGGCGTTCTGGTTTCTTTTGAAACAAAAGAGACCTGAATGAATCACCTAATATTTTAGCAGTACTTCAAACTGACCCCTCACTAATAGTCACATTCCAAACCTGTTCATATTTAAGACCAAGTTTACCAAGAGACAAAACACCATGAAGAATTTGTCCCTTTTGGGATACCTTCCCATAAGGTTATCTTCCAAGTTCAACAGGAATAAGAGAAACGTGGTACTCCCTCTTCCCGGCAAACCTTTTCCATAGCAACCTATTTTTAGGCAATCAAACAAAGCCTTAAAAGGCATTTTAAGCCTTGAGACATTTTGTTCATATGAGGTCAGCCCATAATAGCGTTCATACACTTTTTTTAGTTTAGTGGCCAGCACTTCGAGTAAACAATGGTATTCTTCCTTGTCTAAGTCACTACAGAGCGACATAGAGAAAACTTCATTCTTTCTAGTCTCAAGACTTCCTTTGGCGAGATGTGGTGTTAGCTAGCTTGGTGATCATTTAAAAAATACGATGCTAAGTGCGAATGGAGAAGAGGAGACCAACAAACTGCATAGTTTCTGCAAGAAGATGATATCTTGGAAAGAAGAGAAGAACAGCAAATCTAGGAGTAGTACAAAATAAAATCATTTGGGTTCTGTCACGTTTTTATTGGTAATAATTAAATGTATCATATAGATAGGGGGAAGTGACAGATTTAATAGATTTAAATAGCAAGACTCGGGACGGGTGTTGTTTACTGGTTTCTTCATCACAGCAAGAAGCTTCAACTTCATTCACGGTTACTTAGAAATTGCTGAAAAGATCTCAAGAAAGTCGCTGGGTTGTCATGAGAAAGACCAGAAATTTTGGCCAGAAACCAACACCAGTTGGTGGCTTGTGACTGTGTGGAGAGTGGTTCCTGTGGTCAGAAAAAACTTAGGTAGACTCTCATTTGATTTTACTTGTATAGATGATCTGTAACTCCAATTTCTTGAAGAGATGTATCGTAAAAAGAGTAAATGAGGAAAATGTAAAGATGTGAACCCGAACAGTAAGAACAAAAACAGATAAACTCAAGATCACATGAGGAATTGATCAGACCACATAGAAAGTGGATCTGATACTATGTTATAGATAATGAACTAAACTCACTTCATTGAGAAAATCTGAAGATAACGATGTTTAGTATATGTGTTAAGCTAGGAATCGTCAAAACTCCAAAAACATAAGTGGCTGTTATAGGGTGTGACTAATTGTGACTAATTGTGTGCTAAAATATTTTGTTGGTTTTTCACCTATTAAGGTGTCAAATCCTTGCAGATAAACTGATAAGAGACATATAACATGAAAATATGGTTATACTCTTTGAGAACATTCTGGTATATCTAGATTCTAGACAGTAGAGTGCTCCATGTTAATGGAAGGTTAAAGCAATGAACGTGGCATACCAATCATGGTAAGCTCCAATAAGGCCTCTATCATAAATGACATCAAGCGTTAAGGGCTTACGAGCAGGAACAACATTCATCACCCAAACAGGATCAGATATCAGTGCTGCAGCAAAGCCACCCAAAAATGCATTCATGTCCATCACATTCCGTACATCTGGGGTTCCCAGTTTCAAGTTCAATGACCTTTTGTAATATGCTACCCTCCTGCCCCATCTTCTATTGTCTGCTTCAAAAACATTGATTCCACTTCTTAATAAATTGATCCTTGAAGAAGCTTCTGTCAGCCTCAGTGGCCATTTTGGGATCGACCCGATACCATAATCTCCTCCCTTCGCATAAGATGCCCTGCTCACACATTTTTTCAGCTTCATATACCTGCGAAAATGAGAACTTCCCCATTATCAGCTATATGATTCAGGGTGGAGGCTGAATCTGCCAGTGCACCTAAGAACATAGGGATAAAGAAATGACAATTCATAAAAAGAATCATCACCAAGAAAGACTTGGTTCATCAGATTCATCGCACAATTCAAGTCCAAATTCATTTTTGTTTGGAATACATGAATCCCCACTGGGCTTTCTCCAGATGGCAGTGTTACCATCCACAACAATAACTTCGTAGCACAAAGAACTGGTAACAGCTTGAAGATCTGCCCATTCCTTGTCCTGTTTCGGCCATTGAACAGGAGGGCCAGAAATAACGAAGTAGCCTCCTGGGCGAAGTAACCGGTCAACTTCGATGAAGTATGTTGCATCTACAATGAATAGTTTTTGTTAAAATCATAAGCAATAGTGGCGAGGTTTGGGAAGCAAGAATAGCAAAGATAGAGAAAATATACTGTATGCTGTGAAAGGAATCAAACAACGAGAACAATGCACCAAATCAAATGAGAAGGCAGGAAATGGGAGCCTGCGGGTCCCAAGCATGGCAACAAGTGCAGGTACTCCTCGCTCCAAAGCAAATTGTATTTGTGATTTGTGTGAATCTCTTGGGGCAAAAGAAAGGGTCAACAGGTCTTTGGAAAGTAAATAACCACCGAAACTCGCAACCTATTGGCGTAAAATCCAAAACAGTTTGAGATTTTGAAAGGTACAAATCAGTGAGCTCATTGAAAATCCATAAAATGCGTACCCCGCATCCCATATCAAGAGCTGTCCTCAAAACTCCATCAGCTATAGGAATATACTGTTTGAGTTTCTCAATATATTGTTCTGCCCCGTCTGGGAACATTGTGCCACCTCCAGGAAAGATGAAGTACGGACCTTCTCTTTTCATCCATCCTTGGTGACCTTTCCTGTCTGCTATTTTATTATAAGGCATGTTATCGTGAAATATCTGCAGAGGGTACAACACCAATTCATTGGACGTAATTAACCACCACACATACACACACACACAAACCCTCACCCCTCACTAAAAGTCTAAAAGGTAATGTCAAACACTAAAACTGAAACATGATATTAGTATATTACCCACTTGAAAAATAAACTTAGATGTTAGTATATTACTCACTTGAAACAAGAAAGAACCATTAGAACTTTTTCCCAAAACAAAGAAATTTGAATAGATCAGCAAAAGGACATCCATCATAGGACGACTGCCCCATCATGCCACTGAAAAGACAACAATTAATTAAAATCATACATCAAATTAAATAGGAAATAAATAAGGGCGTTACAAAGAAGTAGAGAATAGCTTAAGCTCAGTGATCTAGGCCTAGTTGAGCATCTTCATCTGCTAATCCAATATTCAGTCTAGCTAAAGTATGACCATGTTTTACAAAAATGAAAACTATAGAGAAGATAAAGGTGCTGCCTGACTGGACAGCTCACAGATGAGCATCTTCACGGCTCCACCTACATATGGGAACCCTCAATTTGCTTTGCGTAAGGAATTTGAGTTCCTCTGTACTTAACCTTGTCCACAGTTTCCTATATGGTTTTCTAAAGCACACAACTATCTGCACGTTGATCCCAGTCCTATTTCATCTCCAAAGTAAAGTGCTTGGGTGAACTGTTGGGTACCATTTTTATATTTCTATGTACATTACCCAAAAAAGTTATACTACCTCGGTTCCACTAACATTGGGACACGATGAGGTGGTGCAGTTATTAAGAAAAGTGAGTTTATGTGGTTGATATGAATTGATAAAGTAAAAATAAAGTAAAAATGATTTAGAACCACACAAACTTTACCAAATTTGGTATGAGACAATCTTAGTGAGGCGGACCGAAAAGAAATGATGGGACAACCTTAGCATGACGGAGGGAGTATGTAACTAAATAATTGATCATATTTATTCTATCAAAATTTGATCTGGGTTCGTCTTATCAATTCAGGATGAAATAAAAAATGCATCTAGTCTAGTCATTACAATAGAACATTATTGTACATTATGACTCATGATGACCAAATCAATTCACTTGAGAAATGAAGTACGCTTTTTTGTAGAATTACTAATTCAGGTTATCAATAATATTTTGGCCGGAGTGCACGTAGACTAACTATTTGCTTCATCGAATAGCAGGGGAACCAAAATGCATCAATACCAATAGTTATGGTATCATTTAAACATTTACCCCGAATTACATACTTACTTTGTTCCTATTTAAAGAGTTTCCTATTTGAATTATGTACTCCCTCCGTACTTATTGTTTTCCTTTTTTAGCTGTCCCTAAATAAAGTCCTACTGGTACACAAATTTCCTATCAATTCATTTACTGCCATTTAGAAAGAGTGTTAGTCACTGGCTCAGAGCCAAACAATGTAGATTTTTTACCTAGATACTTCAAGAAGTCAAAGAAAAAATTATTTCTTTACACTGGCTATTATTCAAACTAGAAAGTTCTTGAATGTAAGGAGGGGGTATTACTTGTTGGGAACATCCCCAAATAAAGTACTCTAAAATTTGGGATGTTATTGTTTTAATTTAATACCCTCACGGTCACTCTCAAGTGAGAATGACAGTGTAAAAACAGTTTTAAATTTTAACTTTTAACAGTAATATTTACTGTCTATAGGAACTTCTTCAGTTGGGAGTATCTTTACATCCAGGAAGTAGGAACATACGCACATTTTGAACAAGTTTGGAGAAAAAAAACTATGAAGTTGACAGGGCTGACCTTATGCAAACTCTCAGGCCACCGGACTGGAACTTGGTAACCCTGGGGCGGAGGAATCAAGCAGAGCGGCGTATCCTGAGGCGAAGGACAATGCCGTTCCCTGTAGTAATTCATCTCTCGACTGAGTTGGTTGTTGATTTTGGGGTCTTCACATGGCATGTGGTCCACATAATCAGCAGGGCAGAGCTGAAGCGGAGGCATCTGCCTGCCCGACTCCCCTACGAGTGCAAGTAGACGGTTGCGGTGCTGCGAATCCCCGGAGAGCAGCGCTTGCAAGCCCGACGCCGCCAGAGGATCGCCCAGTGGCGTGAAGACAAGGACGAAAAAAATTAACACCGCCGCAAAGAAAGCGGCAATCATAAAATCAAGCAGCTGCCACTTGCGCGCACTCCGTTGCGATGAATATAAACTCAAATTACCCATTCGGAGCCTCACACATCTACTTCAAATTCTGCTCAAGATCCGATTCAAAGCTAAGTTGCTAACTACTCTCTCTATATGCAGCAGCTGAGCAGTAATACCAGTTGGCCTTTGTAAGAAACCATCTACTCCAGTGGGCCAAAATTTAATTAAATAACCTAAAAAAAACTATATTAACTAATTAAAATAACCTATATTACAAAAAAAAATTAAAATGTAGTATAATAATAAAAGTATTATAGAAATGTCGAAGAAAAAAGTAAATATTATAGAATCGACAATACAATTATTTTTAAAGTCATATATATCAAATTGAAGTTTTATCAGTTACCCAAATGTTTAGTTCCAATTTTTAGGTTAGTTTCTAGAAACCAAACTCAATGTATTAACTAATTAATATTTAGGTCAGTTTCTCAGAAACCGAAGTTTTATCAGTTACCCAAATATTTTTAGCTACCAAACTCAATGTATTAACTAATTAATTTTTCAGATCAATATTCAAAAATTCAATGAGTTGAACTAATTATTTTTTAGGACAATATTCAAATAGCTCAATCAATTGAACTAATTCTTTTTTAGACTAACAAACATTGTTGCTCCCTTGGGGATCGAACATGTAACCTCTGCATTACATGGTTAAGCTACTACCATTATGCCAATATAGCTTTTGTTCATATAGTGACGTTTGTTTTTCTTATAACATTTCTTCAAAGCACATATAATACACACACACATATATTAGTAATTTTTTTTTTAGGTTGGGCCTAGACCCTCCCTGGCCATATGTCAGATCCCCCCTTGACTCCAGTGGTAAACGAGCGGACCCGTCCGACTAGACCGAATCGATGGTTTATGCTTTCAATGAATTGGCTCGATTCTAGCGGGTCTGAATTTCAACGACTTAATGCACCTCACCTAACTAGCGGCATCACTTTGCCATTTTGTCAAAGTTAGACTAAAGTTTAAATAGTCTGTTATTTTATTTGTTGTTTTGACCTAGTCCCTATTGTTTTTGTAACATCTCGCATTAATAAAATTTCGGTATCCGACTCCCGGCATTTACCCCGCTGATTTTGGTGGTTTGCCTTCCGGGATAAAAAAAGGAAATTGTTCAATATAAGATTAAAATATAAACAAAATTAAAAAGAAAGTAAGATATGTTTTCTTCTCCAACAAGAATTCTTTAGTTCTTTTAAAACAATAAATTAATTAAAATTCTCAAAATAAGAGTAAATGAGTCATATTTTGATAATAAAAAAAGATAGTTCTATTTATGAACTTCATCTTTAATTTAGTTCAATTTAGAGAATTTTCTCAAGTTTAAAATTTCATGAATATTACCTAGTATTTGTCATTTGTAATTGGATAAAAATACTCTTATAGGATATTTTTATGGCGGTCACTGCCATCAATCTGCTGTCGAAATGCTGCCTCCATCGCTACAGTTTGTTGTCATCGTCAACGGACTAAAAAAAATGTAATAGAACTAGAGTGGATGATTGATTATGCAATAGAACTAGAGTGGATATTGATTATATTAGTAAATTATATTAGAGATAGAAATGTAATATTTAATCCAATTTAAGCAAAACAAAACATGTGGTCCCATTAGACTTTAATTTGTCACCTTAATTTTCTATTTCATTTGTGCCAGATTTTTTGTCACATTCTTTTTAAAGTAATGAATTTATTATTCTCATTATTTCTCTTTCATTTACACAAATTTCAATCACGCAGTTTCTACGTTTTTTATTTCACGCCAAATCAAAGTAATTAGCGATGTCCAATGGAACAATGAGAGTATGTTTTAGTCCCAGTTTTAGTCCTAGTTTTTTATTTCACGCCAAATCTTAAGTTACATTTTCGGTAAGATGGTTTACATTTTGACTTAATTGTCTTAAGTTATACTCCCTCCGATCCTAATATAAACTTCACACTTTGACTTCACACAAATTAAGGAAATAAATTTGACTTTATTGTAGAGTACACTGTTGTGACACTGTTTGGCGCTGTTTGGCACTGTTTTGCACTATTTTGATGTAGATAATTTGCCAAATAAGGAAGAGGGAAGAAGTGTGAAGTTTATTTTGGGTCTACCCAAAATGGAAAGTGTGAAATTTATTTAGGATCAGAGGGAGTATTTCTATAACACGGTTTACATTTTGACTTGCCTCAAGTTACATTTTGCATACATACGATTTACATTTCGACTTGCCCAAGTTACATTTTGCATACATGTGATTTACATTTCATATATGTGATGGAGGTGAGTGAATAATCACTTGAGGGATTGAGACTCCTGAGATTTACATTTACCAGCTACCCGAGATTACATTTGTTGTATCATGACTTGCAGTTTAGCGCACAAGATTTGCATCACGAAAAACATTCAACCAAAAACATATATTCAACATTCACAGGCGTTTTTTAATTAAGTTAAAATTATGATGTCATAAATATCCAAGAACGGGTCACAGTCTCACGATCCTTCACGGAAGCATAATATAGAGCTATTGCGTATACAATGCAATTACTTTGTTCAAGTAATAGCTTCCCGGTAAACCGCTAGTGGTGTTACTTAGAGAGAAGAGAGAGCTAATAATACATAGAGAGAAAGAACTTGCAATAAAAGAGTTGTGAATCCTCTACAACTACCCCAAATGGGGGATATATAGAGGAAATATATATGGGTTGGGCTCTCAGGTCTTGAACCCGGGAGGCCCAATTACAATAATGGGCTGCTAATGAGCTAATTACATATGTTCTAATCTGCTAAGGACATATTAGAGATCTCTGTTGGCGAATTGGGTCGAGGTGCATGGGCGCACTTCGGGCATGTTGCTAGAAGCCCCTGGACGGGTTCCTGGTGGGTGGCCTGTTACCGAGGCGCATCCCTCTGAGATGCATCCCGGGCCATTGCTGGCCAGAAATATCCTTGGACAATGAGGCGCCTGCACATGTTGAAGGGCCCTTGGTGTCACTAGTAGAAAAGTGGCTTATAATGACATTTTAATAGTGATACTTTATGATAAAATGACAGTACTAACATAAAATTGTAGCTATGTTTTCACACTTATCTATCAGCAACACATGGTGACACCGAAAGATAATTTTTTACGAGGAGCATCTTGGCGCACCTCTGTTGTTACTAAGCGCACCTCTTTTTTGCACCGTATGGACAATTTTGGACATTTTTCCTATAAATGATTTTGTTAGTTCTCTTTTTTGTTTTTTGTTAAGCTACCATGTAAGACGTAACTAAGTTCATTCTTATTCTTTTATTTTTGTGTAGCACTCAATGTCTTTATGGACCTTTTTCTTAATAGATGAAAATCTTTTTGTTGTTTATTATCTTAAATTGTGAACAATAAATTGGAAAATTCTAAAAGTGCCCCTTTATTTGAAAAGCACAGGTAAGTCTACATTTTTTGGAGAGTACCTAATATAATTATGATATTTTTTAAAATGTATTAATGACTGAAAAATAGTCATACATTTAGAGCCCATTTTGATTTATCAATGTAATTAACAAATTTTTGTTAAATTTGTCTCCTTATAATTTTCCGAAAATCTGATTTCGTTTTTAATTTTTTACTAACAGTGAATTATACTATGTATATATTATTGGTCAAATTTGTACATTGACAAATGTGAAAAGTTGACTGTTGCATTTATTTAAGAACGGAAGAAGTATTTTATTAATAAAATAAAGGAAACATTATATGAAAAATAACTAAAATGGTCATCTGTAGCAAACTAGCAACTTCAGCCAATACAGCCAAAAAAGTAACGTATACCTTTTTTTTACACACTCCAGCGTGCGAAATCAAAAGTTGTATGTTTGATTAAAAAAATAAAAAGTTGACTGATAAGCCTGATATGACGAAAAACAGAGTCTCCAAACGGGGCTCTAAGGCAATTGTGCTCCACATGTAATAAATAGCTAATGCAATTTTTATACTCCCTCCGTCCTAAATTGAGTTACAAAATTTACATTTTTGAGTCACACAGATTCATTATATTCACTTAATTAGAATATCAATTTTTATTTCAATTTTAATTTGGATTTTGGGATTTCGTACATTTTAATATAAATAGGGAGAATTTAACTTTAATATGGGTTGATAAAAGAACATTTACTTTGCAAAACAATTTGGGACGAAAGTAGTATCTATTTTTTTTTTAAATTCAAAATATATTTATATTTATAATTATTTAATCTTGATATATCATTGAAAGCACGTATGAAGGCAAAATAGGAGTAAATCATAACTTATTTAATAATAACACATAATTTGAAAATTATTTAATATTTTTAAAAGGACTAGTAAACTCACCCGTACGTGCGATGCACGGTCTGAGAATTTTTCTTTCGAATTTATGTGTTCTTGGTGATTCAAATCACACTATCAATTGATGACACCATCTATCTTCTTGTAATACTGATATACATCAAAGCATTAAATGAAACACACTTATAATATTATGGTCAAAATGAGAGTACTAAGCATTACTCAAAAGATAGAAAACATCCAACAAATACGTTGAAACCAACACATTGTAAATATGCACTTAATGTAAACCTAAACATTGTTAAACACTTCTTTAAAAACAACATTCTGAGTCTTGTCAGTGGTTCCTTCATCTTCATCAACAATTAGAATTTTTAAATTTACATGAATTGCATTTTTTAGATGAATTGTCTCTCTAAATAGGTAAAATAAGGGAGTAAAATATGTGAAAGTTCGTTATGTCATTCTTGAATTATAATTGAATCTAAATTTGTGGGAAAATGTTCAAATAGGTGCTTCTACTGTTTCTAATAACCAAGTATGGTCTGGTCTTTTTTGTTTAAGTTTGGTTTGGTTTGAGACTGAAATAAGTCTAAGTAGTATAATAAACATCTCAAGTAATATGGTGACTATGCATTTATACAAATTGCATTTTTTACACGAATTGCCCGGCTAATTGGCAAATCAGGGAGTGTGCAAATATGTGAAAGTGTGTTATGGCATTATTGAACAATACTCAAATATGATAATTCTTCAATCGGTCCTTAACCGGCTCTATTCGATCCTAGAT